TTCTTGCGTATTAAATTCTTTAACTAAGTTCTAATTATCATCTAAGTATAATATTTTTACCACAGGTAATTACAGATATTTTTAAATTATAGAACATTTAAAAATATAACTAAAATTAAATGGTTGTAAGTGAACAATTGCTTACATCTAATGCGAAAAGATCGCTCAGTCTTTTAGATGTTTTGGTGTTACCCTTAATCAAGGGTGTTACTTTCATTAATACCTATACAGATGTATTTACTTTCTTTTTTTTTTCTTTTTTTTTCTCATGGAAATAATTGTCAATATCTTGAATTTAAGTAATACTTATTGGTAACTAGTTCTGAAAAAAGGATTAATATAGTAAAAACGAAATGCTAATTCTATTGTAAGGGGCTGAAAATAAAACCCTGTATATTTAATAATGTGTTTACACAAACTTTTTTTGATTTTTTAAACTTTACAAAGAATAGAGTTTTAAATTAATATGCTATTGAAGACAAAATAATATAATTGTTGTTCAAATATTCCTCCATCGACTGATCGCGAGACAATAACCCAGGCGATCATAAAATTCTCTTCTTACATTCGCTAGCTGGTAAACTGAAATTCTATTGCATTCGGCAGAAATAGCATTTTTTAACTCGTCTAGATTTGGGTATTTTTTATCCTTGTATATCCTGTTTTTTAAATGGCCGCAGAAAAAGAAATCATTTGGCAAAATATCAGGAGACCTTGCTGGCCAATTTACTGTATGATTTAGGCCAATAACGTTTCCGTTAAAACTATTGTCTAAATATTCCCGATCAGCCAGGGTACTATGTGCCGGGCAGCCATCCATTTGGTACCAAACTTCCTGATTTTCCCTAGCGGCATCATGTAAAGCAGGTAAAATATGATTTTCGAGTTGTTCCAAATAATATTCTGCATTTAAATTTCGCGTAAGAAATAATGGCCCGATAATATTGTGTCCGAATATCCCTGCCCAAACATTTACTTTCTGTGGATATTGCGTCCTTGTTTCGACAAACCTGTGTTGGTTTTCTTTGTTCCAATATCGATAATTTTGAACATTGGGTTCATTATTTAAGGTAAACGTGCATTCGTCAGTGAAACATATGTTTTTTAAAAATTCCCTATCCGTGTTTGCTCTTTCCATCATATCAAAACAAAACGCCTGCCGCCGTATTTCGTCCCCATCTCGTAGCTCTTGATGCTTTTCATATTTGGAGGAATAGTATTTATGTCGTTTCAAAATTCGAAACGCTGTAGTGTGATCTATTCCTATTTCATCCTCAAGTTTCCTTGTGCTGATCTTTCCATCTTTTCATCGTTTCCATCTGCAGTTATTTATTAGAGTACCTTTGGTCTCAAATCTCTGGATATTTCTTGCAATTGTAGATTTTCCAGGTATCGGTCTATTCGGATACAGAGCAGCAAACATGTCCGACACATTTTGATAACTATTTCCTTGATAATACCATTTAATCATCAATACTTTTTCTTCGGCAGTGTAATTCACGGCTATGAGTTTTTAATAATAATAATAAAGCACTAAATAGATAAATTTCTGAAATGACAACTTCATTTAACAGTTATCTTTTACCTTGACTGGTGCTCATAAGTAAATACAGGGCCATAAGAAAGGAGAAATATTTTTTAAAAAATCGGCGATAACTCGTAAACGGGCTAATCAAAAATATCTAAAGTTATTCTTTTGAATGTGGGTTTTAGTGCTCTTCAATAAACCTAAATAGAATTATTCTCTAAAATAATTAGGGAAACCAATAATTGACCCCATTAAAATTTACATGGGATTCCCTATGTCCCGCTCGACGATGCAACATCCGGTATATGATCTAGGGTTATAACTCAAGAAAGTGACACACAATAAATCTATCGGCGATAACTTTTCGGCGATTAACTTTTCCCTTCCCATACCTACAATCTAGCTTTGCGACTCACTGAGGAACCGCTACTGTTTTCCAACTAAAAAACGCGAGTCAGACTCATGTTCCCTGCGTGATCATTTCTCCAGGTGCCTTGTCAGTTTGGGCCACCCGACCACATCGGAAAGAAGAGAAATCGGCGAGAGCGACGTAGGTGCGTGATAAGATCGGAGGCAGAGACGGGCCGAAACGAAGACGAGAGTGACAGGAGAGGTGACAAGACCCCGCGCTCTTTGAAACCTTTATTTTACAAGAGTCTCGACAAATGACCGTTTTACGAGCAACGGCAGCGAGACGAAGATATGTGAGAGTTTTTTTCGGGGCCAACGGAAAAGGTTTAAGATGCAAATTGGGTCGGTGTGGGGACCCCTTTGAAAAAAGCAGCCGTATATCTTTTAATTCATTTTCGTTTAACTCTTCTAGACCGCGTCCCATACGTGCTCGATGGAGTTGAGGTCAGGAGATTGTGCCGGCCAGGGTAAGATGTTTAATTGATGAACATTGATAGACTCACTTACCACTCTGGCTGTATGAGGCCGTGCATTGTCATGCATGAGAATGCCCAAGTAGTATTTGGACGTTATCTAACGTCGGGTATACGTCGCGTTCAATAAACCCGACGTCGGGTACCAACGTCGGTTCGACCGCCTGACGACCCTTATTTGCACCTAAATGGGGAATACAGATTCGGGTCGCCTCGACGTCGGTATCTGACCTAATAAGAAATATAATTCTACCAATTACCAACGTCATATTACGTTGGATTTTAGTCACTTAAAATTCGTCGCTAAGCACTTACGTTACGTTTGGTTTCATATTCGCTACCAAGAATACATAAAAACCTAACCAAACTACCTAATTACAAATGTGCACTTCATAATCACTCCTCGAATATAACTATAAGTGCCTATCTAATTTCATATTATAATAATTCTGAATCATTAATCCAGACATCAGTTTTGTCAACGGAAGTCACTTTTTTGATATATCTGATTAAAATACTCCGGAAAACAACGAGCGCTTTCAAAATTAGGTAGATTTATGAAATAAAAATATCTATAAAAAAGTAACTCGCAAATTATTTTTTTTAATTTTCTAGCTGGTTTAATCATAAAACTGTACTGTGGTTCCCCCCAAACTCAACCATATCAATATTATTCTACTAGATATCGAAATGTGAATATAAATTTTAAAAACAAAAAACGATTTTAAAATGGCTAACAATCGGATACGTGTTAAGAATGGCGGATTTCTGTGTCCGACTTAATATGAACTACCAATATACCAATTCCGACAGGGTCTCGAACATTAGTCATCTCACACGACCGAAGTCATCAAACCGGCCGAATTATTACTGTATTATTACTTCTTTGCTTATAGAGTGTCTGTTCCTGTGTATGCCCAAGTTTCTGTTTTCCAAGAAGCATATTAATTAAATGAACAAAACTGTGTCCAAGAAATAATCTATTGCATAGAGGATTTAATGAAAACAAAATTGGTGACGTTGTAATTACAAAGTTCCATGCAGTAATCAATGGTTATTGCTAAAATATGTTATTGGTGTATTGTCAATTTTATTTACTTATATATTACGTTATTTAATCTCAATAATTTTAGGCATTTATTTACATACCTAACTTTTAACGTAACTACTGGTAGATTGTAGGAAATAATATACACTTTGGAACAATTGAAGTAAATAAATGAATTAATATAATACATACATCAAGAAGTAATATATAATTTTGGAAAAAGCTGTATTAATCACTTTCGAAAATCATAATTGTTTTTTTTAGTTAGTCGCAGAACTTAGACAAATAATTTAGGTTTGTTATTAAATTAAATGTAATAAGTACAGATTTAGACTCTTAAACCAGGCATAGCATATTGATTAGTAGGGTCCACAGTAAAAAATATTTTGTAATACCATTCGAAAGAAAATACAGACCTATATTATACTGTTTATAAAGTGAGTTTCATTGTAACATAACTTAAGAAAACAATTAATATGCATATGCCAATCATAAGAATAGAATCTATTAATTTAATGAACTATACCCATAGTACTCGGCAAATAGTAAACCAAACCACAGAAACTAAGACTTACAGTGTTAGATCATGTAGTATATAAGTATTTTAATTTTATCATTTAATAAATAAATACAATATAAAATTTAAAATGCCATTTTTTTTTATTTTAAAACAAGTGATTTATATATGTATAAACAATTTAAAATTCTTTATCATTTAATTTATTGCCCACATCTTCCGGGATTATAAGGCTAATATTTTGCTGCTTATAGTGCCTATATCTCAAAAAAAATTAATTAGATTAATTAATGATTAAGTATCCCTGTATTTTTTAATGTTGAATCTTATGGACTGAAAAAACTGCTGATGATATTTCTACTTTCACTGACTGAAGATGCAGAAACCTAGAAGAAATTCAAAAACAAATTGTACAAATTGTAACGGATGACTATACATTTCGGTAAGTCAATATCGACAAAGCTTTGATTACAGCATCACGTATTTGGTTTTTCTTTAAATCCTCTATACAATAGACTATGTCTTTGACATAGTTTGTTCATTAATTTGTTTCTTAGAGGTTATACACAGGGGTAGATATTCTATAAGTAAAAAAGTAATGTATAATAATACAGATTCTTAAAAATATCTCACCTTACCGTTTCTAGTACTTCAATTTAGTGTGTTTATATTTTATACATGTATAAAATTGAACATCATCCACCAGAAGTATGAACAATTATGAGTTGAATATTACAAAATATGACCATATTAAGCAAAATTTAAAGGCCTACAATTAACTTTGTTGATTAACACGATACTTCTTCCATGAACTAACGGGTTATTACTAGTAATTGAATACACATATTGGTTTACAGCTACAATATTAGTAAATCTGAAGGGTCTAGTCTGTATTAGACAATTACAAAAAGGATAATCCATACATTTTAACATGCATTTTAACAGTAGAATAATCCAATTTTTGTTAACTCTAGACGTTATCGAAATGCCTGGGACTGGGACGGGCGATAGTTAGGTTACGCCCAGTTTCATAATACAACCCTTAAAGTCACTTTAGTTAAAGTCCACTTTAAGTTAAAGTCCACTTTAAATTCAAATAGGTTTCATAATCAATTGGCCTGGTTACTTTAACTAAAGTGAAAATTGCCTATCAAATTTATTTTGGTACCACTGAAATACACGATCTGGCTGTCAAAAACGTCTATTTGTGAGGTTAGATCGTTTTATCGATTATTTGTGTAGCGTCTTGGCGTCAATTTTCTATCGTTTTTCCGTTATAATATACATACCTCCGAAATCAAATTTAAAATATTTAAAATGAAAAGGGCAAGAACAACAAATTTTTCAGCAGAAGAAGAGCTTCTTTTAGTGGAAGAGATTAAAAAACATGGCGCTATTGAGAATAAAACGACTAATAAATTCTCACACAGAGAAAGGGTAAAGTATATACCATATAGATTATTTTTTTTGAAGATTTAAACTATTTTCATTTTTAGGAGCAAGCGTGGGAGCAAGTACTCCTGAGCTACAATGCAAAATCAAGCCGACCTAGGGAAATGGAACAAATCAAATCCAAATTTGACAACCTGAAAACAAAAGCGAGGAAGCATGCTAATGAAAAAAAAAATAATTTGACAGGTACCGGGGGAGGCCCAGCTGTTCTGAAAACAGATGATCCAGTGTTAACAGTGGTACTGGAGATATTAAATCCAAAATCCGTAGTGGGTTACACCCCTTTAACGGATTCAGATTGTGACGTAAGAATATAATGCTATATGTTATTATCTGCGTTATTATACATAATACACATATTTTACAGAACGTTTGTACGCTGCCTCTCATTGAGAATGAAGGTATAAATAATGATGGCAACATTGAGGAATCTATAGAATTATTACAAGTAAAGTATTATAACAATTCATTTTCATATTACTTATTTAGTTTTTTTTTAGCCAGTTGAAATTGAAGTGATACAGCCATCCTCTTCAAATTGTGTAAGTTGATAATTTTAATGTTATTAAAAAAAAGCAAATGTTAATACTTCGAGTATTTACTTCATACGTGAAATATCTATTATACCAATAGAGGACATGCTATACTAAAGTAGGAGATAATTACCTCCTGTATCCTATATAATATAATATATTTATGATTACCTAGAAGTATTAGGATTTATTTAGTTTGCATTCATCCCCGCATGTATTTATTACTGATATTGATTATTTCAGGAAGCTACAACTAGCTACAGTAGACTACAGCTGGCTACAGAAGCTACAGCTAGCTACATTGTTGTGGATGAAAAAGTAAGATATAAATTCATTTATTCATATATGTGCATACTTACAATGTATTTATAGATGGAAACTGGAATTAAAAAAAGAGACTGGAGTAATTATACTCCAAAGAAATTAAAAGAGCCTGTCAACAAGAAATTGAGGCGAACCATTCCTAATACAACATTACAAGCAAAAGAAGAGTATTATAAAAAAAAAATTGAATTTCTGCATGTCCAGGAAGAAGAGTTCGAAAGAACACAAGTTCGAAACTCTGAAAAACATGTGAAAGAAATGGAATTGTTAAATTTAGAAATAGAGCTAAAAAAACAGTTGTTACATAAACAAAAAGACTTAGAATAAATGTTGTTTTAAATAAATGCATATTTTTTAATTCACCTGTAGCAGCTAACATCACTTTATAGTTACGAATCAAAATTAATAAAGAATTATTAAATAGAAACAGATAATAATAAATAATATTCTATTTAATAAATGCATACATTTTATTCATTGTAACAGTTACAGTTTAACAAATCAAAATAAAGAAGTGTTCAATATTTAACAATGAATGTCCCTTTAAATAAATGCATATTTTTTATTCTTTATAATTATAGTTAAATTATAAATCAATAAATTGTTAAATACAAAAAACATTATTTTAAAATATATATTGAAGTGCTGCTCTATAATCTGCCAAAATGTTGATGGACTAACAGATCTCTTACTTGTCGTCCATTGTTATTATTATTATCAAAATTGACATGATTTTCATGAATATCATCACCTTCTTCTTGTTCCAGCCAATCGTCTGGAAATTCTTCTCCCATTGCCAGCGCTAAATTGTGGAGTACAGCTGTTGCCACAATTATGTTTCTAATTGTTTCTAATTTTAACCTCATACCTAATCGAAGTATTGGAAACCTTCGTTTCCATACCCCATACTGCCGTTCCACAACATTCCGTGTCCTAATGAGTGATTCATTATATAAATTCTGAGCTGCTGTTTCCACGGTTTGCAGTTGTGTCATGAGGTATGGTTTCAATGTATAACCGCTGTCACCAATTAATAAGTACTGGCCATACATGTTATTCTCAAATTGCTGTTTTAAGTTACTGTTGTTGAATATAGTTTGGTCATGTGTAGACCCTGGCCATCGACAAACAATATTCCTTATTCTTAAATCGGCATCAGAAACTGTTTGTACATTTACTGCAAAATATCCTTTCCTGCATCGAAAAATTTCAGCATCGTCTCCCCCTACTGAATCTATTTTTATTAAAGTACAGTCAATAGCACCAATACATTTTGGAAACCGAGCTATTCTATAAAAATCTTCACATGCTGCCTCCATTTCTTGGTTTGTACCATACATGTTGATATATTGTGGCCTCAAAGATGCAATTGCCTGAGAAACTCTTTGCACGATTCTACTAGCTGAGCTTTTTGACACTCCCATAAAATCTCCTACAGAGAGTAGGATGTTTCCTGTTGCATAGAAACGTAATGTAAGCAACAATTGCTTCATTGGATCTATGCATCCGCCCCTAAAACATACATCTATATATAGAAATATGTGGTAAATTAATTATAGTAAAATACCTGTTTGTTGGTAACACTATCAAGTTTTCAATTTTTTCTAATAAATTGATAACCGTTGCCTTTGTCAGCCTAAACCTATCAAAGAAATCAAGCTCATCATATTCGTGGACGTAATCTTTCCTTTTGGGATATATCTTTGGCCTCCTCACAACTATTTCTTCTTCTTCAGAACTAGAACTTGAGGATGAAGATAACATATTTCAAAAAATGATTTATACAATGACAGAATTAACCAAACACTTTTCTCTCTGCTAAATCCACAAAAGCTAAAACCACAGGGGTTAAAACACGAGGATGAAACGAAAAATAGGGAGTTCGAAACAGGTTCGAAATTCGAAATATAGGGTTACGGTTAAAGTAGTAAAGTACTTTAGCGTTTTTAAAGCGGGAGCATGTGCACTTTAACTTTAAAGCGACTTTAAACCTTAAAGTTTAATTATGGAACGCAATTTTAAATTTAAAGTTCCTTTAAGATTTTAAAGTACTTTATATTTTATTATGAAACTGGGCGTTAGAGCCTTTTTGATTTTTCTCTTCTTTACTTTTAAAGACGCATTCTGTATTAATTACGATTTACTGGATTTACCTAATACAGATTTTTTATTAATTAAAACTGGTATAGTTCAAATTATCAAAGAAAAAATATTTTTTGGATATAGATTTCTGTATCCGGAAACTTACTATTATCTTCTAGATTTTCTACATTTAGTATTAATTTTAATTAAAATTTTATTTTTTTGAAGATCTTTAAAGTGAAAAGAAGAAGAATTTTAATTAACTAAAAAAATCAAAATAAAGTTAATTAATTTTGAGCAGAGTTCGACCTCGTCAAAAATAGCATCGATAGTCATTCCCCAGCCGCTTTTGACGCCGTTTTTTCTCGATCATACGGTATAATTAAAGGAAAAAATTAAAAATTCGTTGCTTTTTCTTCTAATTGAAAACTACTACCACTAATTTTGACGTTCTGAATCCTTACATTGAAATTAGAGGAACAAACCTCTACGCTAATTGAAACTACTAATTTAATCTACTAATTTTGAGGTTCTGAATGAAGCTGAGTTCACACTTGATAACAGTAATCTCGAGATGTCACTCCAAGAATATATTTTGTTTCATAACACACATAGAATAACTAACTGAAAGAAATGAAAACTCCTATGTTAAAGCCTGGAAACACGCGCTCGACGCGATCCAAGCGGGCTACTGGCAGAACTAAAAGTTCGCGCCATATTTTTAAATGGACCTTTACTGCCAGTTCATAAGTTTTTTACTTATATTTGGTAATTTCAATCTAGATTATTCATTTATTTATAACAAAACATTTACAAAATAAAAATAATGTATTTCGATACAAATAAATTAATAATCTAGATTGAAATTATCCCTGAAAATAGAATAAAACACGAAAAATTTGTAACATGATTATTTTATTATAACATTTGTTAATAAAAATACATATAACAAATTCAATACTATACAAGTATATATAAAAGTTATCAGAATTTATACGATCAGTTATAAATAATTATAAAAAAAGGTTATAAATTATAAATAAATAAATCATTATATAAAAGGCATATTAGTTAACGTGTATCTAATTTGGTATAACTTTAATCTCAACTTTAATGACCTATTCAAATAGAAACATCTTACAATTTGCGTTGTATAATACAGAAAGTAAAGGGACAAATTTTTGTTAGTAATCTATTCTCGATGACTCGAAGCATTTTTTTTTCAAATAAAACAGGACATATAGGGCTTATAAATAATACAAGGGTATAGAAAATATATAAATAAGTAAATACAAATATATTTTCAACCTAATGATTAATGATTATACTCGTTTAAATAAATAAATGATCTTTTTAAAATTACTTGTTTGTCTTTGCAAATTTGTATATTTAATATTTATCTAAAAGCGTACACTTACATAAATTACTGCACAACCTTTAAAATTAAGCTTTTAATATGTTATACAAATTCTTGATTCGATATAAATACACTTAAATAAAACTTTAAAATTAATGATCTTCCAAATTTCTGAGACAGCCATTTTGTTGAAAGAATTTGTTTTGATTATGAGAAATTTCATAAAAATTATCACAGGGATTAATTAATCTTATATATGAAACTACTTGGCTTTTAAATTTCACAATCCTATCGTCCAAAATACTCTAAATTCGCAAAAATCCGTAAATATTCCCATAAAAACAAATCACAATTCACTTCCACTTCACAGAAACTGACAGACATTGCCAGATATGGAATGACGTTTATTTTTCAATTTATTTTACTGATCTAACTGATCCGGGTCACTTAGAAATTAAATTTTTATTAAATTATTTAATTATAATTGTTTCTGGCGAAAGCAACTTCATATCAATGTTTATTCATAGGGTAACAAAGCACATCGCTGTAAAATTATCAACATTTTATATAAATATTTATATTTTTCAACTACTCCAACTAATCCAATTACTCCACAGAGAATCAAACGAATTGTTAATTAAACTATACTCTGTGGATGACTTGATAAAATCATGATGAAATTAAAGTCCCTAGATGAATATCTAAGGACTTTAGATGAAATTTCTACGCAGCGCCATCTATCCCTCTACTGGCAGAAACTCCGCTGTGTTTCCAAAATTCAAATGGCAGTTTCATCCGCCTGATAACACATGTCTTCTTTGTCTACTGCTTTCATACAAAAAGGGAAAATAAGTTCTAATGCAGGTGTAAGTACTGAAAGCAAGAAACAGCCAATAAACAAACAGTTCCAATTTGATATAGGTTTTATGTGCGACACTACACGATAAATTATATGTTCTGATTACCCCCATGCTATTAAAAGTACATGCAATTGACGTTTGTTAGGGTCAGGCAGTACGGTGGTGCCACACCTACGGTACGACCGTTCGATCTGTCGAAGAAAGGTGTTGTCTTCTTGTTTCGTATTGTAAAATCGAATATCGCTTATGGATCGGTATCTAACGGTGTTATGATATGCAAAGACCTGCTAGAGATGGGTACTGTTATCGATTTTTTTTAGAAATACCGATCATTGTTTTTTAAAGGGTTGGGAGTAAAAATTCAAAACCGTGACACTTGCTAGCGAGAAAAAAAAGTGGCAAGGATCGCGCAAACACCAAAAACATTTGATTTAAAGCTAAGTAAAGTATCATAATAAACTTGATACTGTACTTGGGTACCAATATCATCTGGTTGTGTGCTAGGAAGTAAATTTTCATGCATATTTTCATCGATAGGTTTGCATCTTCTGAATAACAGTCTAGGTAAAGCATTTAGCTAATTTGCTAGCTCGGAATTAGAATAAATAGAGTTAAGCAACTCGCGATTTCATTGGAGGACATCGTCATATTTATTTCAAACCAATAATCAACGAGAATATTCGTATAATTTAACAAAATTACAGTAAACCACTATAAATACCATTAATTGTTAGTTAGAATTAGAGTAAGTGGGAGGGGGGTTAATCTCTGCGACCTTAGAGATCTATTGTGTCCCCCTTTCTTGAGTTATAACTCATCATACAGTCCCAGGACTTCCTACGGAGACCCGTGTCCCTCACAGTCGAGGAGCTACGACCCAGGCCGGGTAGACGAAACGGTAGCTTGTGTCGCCTGTTGGGTTTAGAGGTAGGAGGTAGGCTCCCGACCCTTGGAGGAGGTGGTAGCTTGTATGCCACTTGCGGAGGATGGTCTCACGCAAGTGTCAGCCACCTCTCCTGTAGTTCTCTTTAGGTTTGGCCCCTTTCATTGTTATTGTTCCCAGTGTCGCTAGGGGGTTTCCCCACAGCTTCACCGGTGATGTTTTTATTACTATTATTACCAGATCTCATAGTGTTCCTATGAGTCGCTAGGGACAGTCGGTCCACTTCTACAGAGTCCCGCATGTAGAAGTAAGGGGTAAAATACAATGGGGTGCCCAAAGTTTGAGGCTGTCCGTAGCCCCGCCCGGTATCGTTATATGTCTTGGTGCAATTCCCTGGCCACGACACTACAGTCAGGGACAAGACGATGAGTGAGATGCTTCTTAGACCAAGCCAAGTGCTAGAGGGGATTCCCCCCAGCACCTGACCAGGAGCTTCCCCACCAACGACAAGGTCTTGCATCTCCTAGGGGAAGTAATTGTTGGTTAGTTTCAAAAATTTTCCTCTTCTTAAATAAATTTAAGCGTTAAAATTATTAGGCATTTGCATAAAAGTGTGTATTTTGGGTAGTATTCAACAAAATTTGCGCAGACTATTGGGGAAACAGAAAATGTACAAGTTACAGAAATACATTGAAAATAACATTTATAGTTCAGTCACTGGGGATTTTTGCTTGGAAAAAAGTCCGGAAGTTTTGCAACTTTGCAGGTTTATAGGCGAGGGGTGTCTCACTCGGGTAAAAAATGTACACGTACTGCCAAAATATCCTTCCACTACTAAGCGACTGCCAATGACTATGAAGAAGACTGCCTATGACTGCCATGTAATTATTATAGGTGACTGCCATAAGACTGCCAATGACTGCCAGCGACTGCCAAGAAAATGTACAGGTAATTCCAATAGTGAGACACCCCTCGTTTATAGGTTTTGAGGTCCCTAACTAAAATCCATAAAATGCACATTTCCAGACTTGCTGCCGGCGCCGCCATCTTGCCAAGATGGCGCCCAAAATCGTTATTTTGTAAATATCTCGAAAACTATGCGTTTTTCGCAAAAATTTGATGAGAGCAAAATTAAAGAGATTTCCTATAAAAAAGGTTCTATGAAAATTTTCGCTAAAGTCAACCGTTTAGGCACAAAATCCCTGGAAATTTTACAATTTTGCGTAACATATGATATATTATGTATAGTCGATTTTCCGAAATCAAATGTCGATTAGAGTTCACTAAAACTAGTTTTAGTTTAGTTTCTTCAATTTTGTAATGAAACAGTGGCGTATCATCAATTCGCTCATTAATTTATGAATAATTAATTTTAATTATTGAAAATGTGTTTCCACACCATCCGAGAGGTAAAGTACATGGCGCGTTTATTTTAACGTGGTCTCCCCGGAGGCATATCCCACTAGGTAAATTAAAAACTTTAACTTATCTGCACAAGCTCGGCGGACCTGGCTCATTGATGTCAAAGACGATCGTGTCTGCTGTGCTGGGCTCATCAGGGTGGTCTCTCAATACGTCCAACTCTTCATCTTCAGCCGCCAGAGGGATATCTACAGGCAAGTCCAACTCCTCTTCATCGGATTCGTCGAGTGACACTTCAGTGACGTTGTCACAGGATTTCCTATTGCAGTATGCACAAATCATTGAACATTTTAATCCTGCTTTTCTGCATCCCCAGGCTTTACCACAGTTATTGGTTTTGCATTTACAGGATAAAAATGCCAATAGGGATTTTGAAGCTGGATCTGTCAACGTTGTTACTGGAGTAATGCGTGTTTTTGTTTTCTTCCAACCCCATTCTTCGGCATCTTTGGTACAACCAGATGATAATGC